TGACATCAGCTTCTTAATCAAGGGTCGAGTTTACAATGCTGCGGTGCGCTCCATATTACTATATGGACCAGAAACGTGGCCGCTGCGCGCGGAGGTAAAAGACTTTTGTACGACGAGTACGCGGTTATTACGGCCGACAATGATGATGATTGCCGTCTTTCTAGATGGGGATCCTGGGATTCAATCCACCAATGGTTAATTACTGTCAGAATTGGCACATTCGTGTAGTCAGTTGCTTTCTTGTATCAACGCTATCGCCTTCAATGCGTAACTAACTGAACATGCCATTGCCTCCAAGGCTTGGCCGTATGCTCCACACTCTCCCACTTCCCGGGGATCGAAACTGTAGCACCTAGAACCAATTTATTCATGATGCACAGTTTACAGCTGATTAATTGATTAGTTGGCTGAATGGACACAAATTAATCCATCACCGGTGGAATCAAATCCGCGGAAATCAAGCTAGGTTTCACTCTAACCGAAGTTGTACCGATCCTATCTTCACTTTTTGGTAGGACTGCACCATCCCTTCCGCCGACAAACAATAATAGTGTTTCTCCATTCTGATCTTTTGACTCAGTAAGTCGTCAGAAAGAAAGCGTTCAGCTGTAGCACCCTTCCGGTGCCTAGCTGCCATGCCACCCGAAGGAAGCACGAGGGCTGGGATACTGCCAGGTTGCCCAAGCCTAGACAGGGGAAGTCGAGTGGCGGAGGTCGGATTCGAACCACGGACCTTCCGGTCAGTAAATTTGCGCTCTAACCACTTGGGCCGTCTCGCCCAAGGGGTGTTCTTTGGTGTGTTCTTTGTATGTTGTTGTCGTTCCATTCTATAGACGCGTACTTGCCTACGAAAAGTTCTAATCTGAGTTCGCCCCACTCAGCAGTGTCAGGCAGATGTGGTCTCTATCACCCATCCTCTTTAACCGATGGACTGGAGAAAGACGAAATCACTTTCCGAACGCTGAAAGCTAGTCAGCATCTGTCAATGCTTGAAATTTGTGGCGAAGATGTGACACCAGGGGTAGAGTGTGCACTGCGGCCGTCCGACGTATCCAATTTTATGGGTCAGAAGCGTGGTTGCTGCGTGCAGATCTTCGGGGACTCTATGTCCCAAAGCATTGCGCGGGTCTGGTGGGGACATCAAGTTAGGGATGCTGAGGTACTCCAGATGGTTTTTGGGGAACTTCACTCTCGGTAGGTCGGTTACTCACAATCCACAGGTTAGATTGGTTAGGCCATGTACTTTGTATGCCAGAGTACGTTCGCCTGGTAGGGTTCTCTTTGTACATCCTGGTACCGGATGAAAACGACCTAGGGGTTAAATTATGGAAGTCCATAGCAGTCAACTTAGTCGCGTCCATAACTTGGGGCGAGATGGCCCAGGTGGTAAGAGCGCGAATTTACTGACCAGAAGGTCCGTGGTTTGAACCCGACCTCTGTCTCTCGACTTCCCCTGTCTAGGCTTGCGAAACTTGGCAGTATCCCAGTCCTCGTGCGACCTTCGGGTGGCATGGCAGTTAGGCTCCTGAAGGCTGCTACAGCTGAGCGTTTCTTTTTCTTTCTTCGTAACTTCCATCTTCTTTGATAGAGACCTCAGGATGAGGAAGAGCACTGCTTAGTGATCCTGACATATGGATGTGTCACGCACTCAAAGCCATTTCCATTACTACCTAGCTCTGACTTCCTGACATTCTGGACAAACAGACCCACTTGTTGTGAAGGAACGAATGGAGTCATTGCGGTCTAACAACTGAAACCACTGCATTTCGGTACACGGTTTGTGTCCCAAAAACAACTGAACTGAGTGTGTCCCAATCACTTCAACGTGGTGATTTTCACTTACTGCTCTAGTGCTTCTCATTCATCATGAAGCACTCGCTTACGCACCACTTCTTTGCAAACGTGTTGCAGCCATCTGATGCCTGCTATGCTGCCAAGACACCGATGAAAACATGTTCGAATCCGCCTAATTTCCTTGGCGGTAGCCTAGTGAGGTTTGTTGATTTTCGATTGAGACCTCGTCCTGTCAGTGAGGTCAATCTATTCTTAAGAGCCGATAAGCATCATACAGCCGTTTCATCCTTGTCTGGAATCACCAGCAATGCATATCTCACCAAACTCAGAGGGTACGTTTTGGCACTCGCGGTTGGATGCTAGTGTGATTAGTTCTCACCTAGGCAGGATGTAGTGTCGCTCGCTTTTCAGTCACAAAACTCATGGTCACGTATTGACCGAGGGGTAAGTGATGATCAGCACAGAGCTGTGGAAGCTGTTTGCCGTTATCACTCTCCGGTTTAAACCAAACACCAAATACCGCCTCGCATAGACTGGAGCGCCATACTTGCCCGTCGAAACCTCCAGAGATTAGGACTATAACTGAACTCGAAATGTGTTTCACTGAACGGGAGCTACAGTTGGTTGATGCATATTCGGAAACTCTAAACAAGGTGCGTTAAAGTTCGCACCGGTGCGATTGCTCAAGAAACTGGACAGATGAACGACACAGAAGCAACTGTTTACATATATGCAGTCTATCATTGAAGTCTCGACCAAGGTGCTCAAGGCTCTACCACCGCCGCCAACGAGCCGCGGCAAATGAAAAATCATTTCATGTTCGAAATCGGTGGCGTCTGGATAGTAAAGGTGCCCTAAGCACATTTATTAGGCTTGGGGTTCATAAATGTAGCAAACTGTCAACAATGCGGGCTGCTTTTGGTCTGCTTTTTTAAGAGTTCGTACACTAAAGGCTGGAATGAAAATGGAAGAACGGGGTTTGATTAATAAAGTGGAGCGGCATATGAAAGCGGTGGTGTGTCGCCAGTCACTTTCACGAGTGTCCTTTCTATGTACGGAAGGTTGAGGGCATGTAAGAGAAAATGGGAGAGGAAGAGAAAAGGTAAAAGAAAAAGAAAAGAAAAAATAAGATGGAAGGCCAGTGGTTCTAACCTGACATTTGCATCTCGATTTGTCCTGTCTAGGCCTGGGCAACCTGGTGGTATCCCAACCCCCATGCCTCCTTCAGGTGGCATGGTAGCCAGGCACTGAAAGGGTGCTACTGTTGAACGCTTTTTTTATCTTAAGAGGAAATAATGAATAAATTAGGGATGCCAGCACTCGCACGTCCTCGCTCCGATGTATGCAACGAATAAAGTGCCTCAGTTAACATGCCGATTGCAGTTCAAGGAACATCCGAGGTTGTAAAGAATTGTATTCATCTCGGTAGTCATATCGGCGCTGGATAATGTCAGTGTCTGATAAAGTCGGTGCACGAACATGAAAGTTCCACATCACGTTTGCTAGTTGGAGCGTGAGAAAAGCGTGTCATTGGATTTCAAGGATCGCGTGCATCAGGTTGCAGTACAGGCGGTTTGTATAGCTGTGAGATTCAGTTGCTGTTATCAAGTCTTTCACTGAATGTCTAACGAGGTAAGTCAAACACACGGGTTTTCGGCTGTGCAACAACATAAGTGCCAGTGGCTGAACCACATGATACACCTGTCGAATCGTCGTCTATTGATACGACTATGTTCGCTCCGCCCCCCTTCGGAATGGCGTAAACTCCGAGGGGATTGACAGATGACTTAGGAAAAGTGGGAGCTCGTGATAGCTCGGTGGTTAAGGAGCGAACTTACTGGCCGGAGGGTCCTTGGTTCGAACTCAACTATGGCATCTCGACTGCTTCTAGTTTTGGGAAACCTGACAATTTCTCGGCTCTCATGCTTTCTTTGTGTGACCGGGTGGCTTAGCGCCAAAAGGGTGTTACAGCTGAACGCCTTGAGGAACTCTGAAGGAGATTTTGGACAATTCGGGTCCTGTCTTGGCGTTTCCTTTTCCAGCACAGGACCTCTATTATCTTCCTTGTAGCTGCGAAACACTGTCAGTGACGTTCTTGCTGCCAGTCTCCTTCTAGATTGTCCGAATGCGTGTTTGACGGTATGGCTAGCTCAGGGGCTTAGTTCTTATTTTTGCTCTTATAATTTTGGAGTAAGCATGTAAGCTCTGTGATTGCAGGACCAGCTTTGATGTTTTGTCCTAAGGTAATAATAATGATGATGGTGATAACGCAACTCCTCATTATCTACAAAAAATCTCAGTTTTCAGCTGTGCTCTGTTGATTCCAGTGTGTCCCCCCTCCTCAAAAGAATGATTATGTCTTGCTTCTGCTTCGTAGTAATCCTGGATATCTGTGTTGATCACCCTTTACAAAGTTTTGTTTTCTATTTGAGAATGTGGCTCACCTCGCTTTGAAATGTTTCCCGTCCAGAGTAACCTTCACTCACTCTTTTCCGTTGCTTGTCCCTCTTAGGCTTGAAATCGATCGATCATGCGGAACGTATCGAGTGTCAGGCTATACGTATGAGTCGCGAAATATGCGGCTGTTCCTGTCCATCGGGTGTGTGCTTACCGGACACTTGTTACTGTGCGCGAAACGGGATCAAATGCCAAGTGGATCGTCCATATTTCCCCTGCTGCTGTGTTCAGCCATCGCAGTGCCAGAATCCCGAGGGTCGAATTGAATTCGATCCGATTCGAGTGAGGACCCATTATCTTCACACGCGCATGCGACTAGATAAGCATCAGATTGCACACAGTCTTGGTTGGTCAGTGAACAGCCATCAGCAGTCAGAGGAGCCTGATTCGAAACGACCCAGGCTGGATCCGACAACCACGGTAAGCTTTTTCATACACCGATAAATCTTCCCTCTTATAAATGCACCTGATTTGTGTTCACTTTAGTTTACAGTAACCTTGAGAGATCTTCTGTATCCTACTGTCCGAAGGTATGATCAGTCCTACTTATTGTCAAGTTTTCATACTAACTTGTCAACAATTAACCACTAGACGATGCAAGGTGCGGATATTTCTTCATGAACTGAACGAGGCATAGACAAGCTACTCATAGGGTTGCTGAAAACTCTGTGACAGCCGACGACCGGCTTTGCCTTTCTTGGGTCTCATTAGCTAGGCGCAGTCTCCGAGTTCCCGTCAAAGAAAGAAGCGTTCAGCTGTAGCACCCTTCCGGTGCCTAGCTGCCATGCCACCCGAAGGAAGCACGAGGGCTGGGATACTGCCAGGTTGCCCAAGCCTAGACAGGGGAAGTCGAGTGGCGGAGGTCGGATTCGAACCACGGACCTTCCGGTCAGTAAATTTGCGCTCTAACCACTTGGGCCATCTCGCCCCGTCAACTTTATGTTCTACTTGGATCCGAGTTTTCGCACTAGATATGAACAAGACGCAAACGGAATGTAAACATTTTTGCGAACACTGTTTTGTGCCAAATAGACTAGATGTACAAGTGAGTGTGTAAGTCAAATTTCGTGCAATTTGGGTTCAAGTATAGCATAAGGTTGACGGAAACTGGGGGCTTCGCCTACCTGATGATCCCCAAGAAACCTTCGTTGGGTGTTGAAAAGTTTTCAGTAACCTTATGAGTGGTGCATTGCATCTAAACTAGATATGCTTTACAGGACGGAAATAAAGAGTACTCTTATTGTAGTTCTCAATGAAGTTGCTTGCTCCAGCTAATATATATTCCATCCAATCATGATCTGCAGTCTTTCGCATGTAGTGGGGATTACGTTTTTGGAAATTTCCCCTCTTTGTCTAGGAAACCCCATCCAGCGAAAGTTAGTATGGAATCTGGGCGACCTACAACAGGCCATCTCGCCTACATTCGTGGAACCCTCTTAGCCTGCGATATGCACATGGACACGCAAGTCTAGAGCCGTGCGAAAGAAATGCCGAGCACTGTCTGATAAAGCGTCTTCAGTGAATCTCCTCAAATCACCCTGTTGAACCAACTTATCATCTAGTACGAGTTAGTTGCAATAAAGCAGTGGTTTTATGCTACGTTTGGTTACCATTGGTTGGTTATGTCTTAGAACCCACGCCAACGATGTTCTCTCCGAAGTTAGGCGAGATGGCCAAAGTGGTTAGATCGTGATTTACTGATAAGGTTCGTGGTTCGAAACCGCCCTCTGCCTCTCGACTTCCCCTGTCTAGGCGTGGGCGACCTGGCAGTATCCCAGCCCTCGTGCTCCCTTAGGGTAGCATGGCAGTTAGGCACCAGAAGGGTGCTACAGCTGAACGCTTTCTGCTTTCTTTCTCTCCGAAGTTGACGTCGTTGGGTAGGAACGTTTACTGTGAGCATGGTAACAGGGTGTCCAAAAGGCTCACCATGGTGTAGCTTGCGGCATCAAGGTACTCCACACCTGTAATCACGTGTAGTGACAACAAGCGTTAGGCACAAGGTATCATTTGTTGGCACAGTATACTATTGCAAAATGGATTGAATCCAGCAAATCTGAGAAACAGAGTGAAGCAGCACAAGATGATTCGATACTTAACGGGTTCCCAGTACCTAACAGCGGCTTTGTTGTTACGTCATAATACATCTTCGGGATTCGGAAATATAGTTTGCAGTGATGTTCATGATATCCGGTTTATATGTAGGAAAAGTATGTTATTGTAAATTCTTAAATACGATTGAAAGTACTACGTAATAGAAAATTCACGGGTTGACATGTGACGCCATTGATGAGACACTGTCATCATCACATCATCATCATCCGGCTCGGACCCACAAACTGCAATAACTTAGCACGATTCGGACCCATATATGTCTTTTTCTTTCTCCTTTTCTTTCCCTTGTCTGAGTGGAACTGGTCACACGTGTGTGAAATAGCCTTTTCTCATATTGTACATCTACTCACGTCTGCTTCAGTGGTAACCCACTACAACCCTATGATCCTGGCAGCCGAGAACTTCAGAGTATGGAACTGGTGCAGTCCTGTTTAGGCAGTTACCAAACGGTTCACAAAAGACTGTTTGTCATGTGTCCGGCTGCTCCTGATAACAGAGAACTACCTCAAAATCGAAGGAAGAGTTGGCTCATAAAGGAAACGCGGGCCAGATGGCCCAAGTGGTTAGAGCGCGAATTTACTGACCGGAAGGTTCGTGGTTCGAAACCGACCTCTGCCTCTCGACTTCCCCTGTCTAGGCTTGGGC